CCTTTCCTTTTATTGTCATTTCTAATTAAGATATTGTAATCTTAAGGAATAATTTTATAGAAGATAGCTGTATTATCCAATTTGACGAAAACTTTGTCAGACGAATTAATATCCTAATTAAGGGCCTCAAATGCATAAAATTAAGCATGCTACTTGTTTGTCAACTAGGTCTCACTGTTATGCTAATGAACTATAGTTAGATGCAGTCAGCTGTTCTAAAAGTTTTTCTCTCACTTCTCAGCTGTGGAACTCCCTTCTGATTTCTTGCTTACCTGCCACCTACAATCTTCAAAAATTTAAAAGCATAGTGATGTAATGGAATAGTCATTACAAGAATTACTTTGAAATACTAAAATAACAGATAAAGAGAGACAACTCTTGTTTATTTCGACCTTTTCTTACTTAAATGCATGCTTTCCTTCAAATCGTTGTTTGATGTTGTACATCTTGTTAAATACATATTTTATGTGGAACAATGTCTTTTGCTTATCCTTTTCTGCATCAGCCCTGTTTCCTAATCTAAAGTTAAATTAATGTGGTGAAGTCCGCCACAAAGGTATCATAGTAACGCTTGGCTCAATTATCCGATTTAAGAAATCCATTCTTCTTGTTAAGATCTTTTGAAGTCTATATCAACTTACATTAATTTTGTACGTGAAAGAATGTTTTTTTTTATTCCAACACTATTTCTTTAACGTTTTATTCAATGGATAATAATACAATCCTTCAATAGAGGATCTCTATCTGAATATCACTTGGAAGCCAAGAAAATACGACGTTCAAAAGATGTAATACTGATAAAATGGAATAACCAGTCACCCCCATTAATGATTACACTATAGGTAGTAAGTATCTATAAAGTCGACTGTCTACGAGAGACTGGAGGAAGAGTGAGAGAGAGAAGACGCAAGCATGTCTGACCTTCCAATTAGTGGCACTCACTACTAGATTGAGTTGTGTGTATATAACTGTACCGTATTTCATATTGTACCGGTTGTGTACAATAAACCTTTCTTCTATTATCCACCTGGTGTTAAGTATTTATTCCCTTAGCACGGAGTATAACACATAGTCAATTGCCATCTTCTCTCTTCCTGAATTCTATTCCTTTATCATCCTTTTCTGCACTTCTCCTGTCTAAAGTTTTCTCATCCTCTTTCATTCCCTGTAACCCCCTGTGTTCAATTGACATTATTGTCTTGCTTGAAATGATTAAAAAAAAATAAAAATGCCTTTGTTCACTACAAATTTGAATAAACCTGTTCCTTGAAAACTCCAGCTCCAAACCTATACTTTTCCATTGCACATGGGGTGGTGGGGGAGTTTTATTTCTGCTTTTATCCACCAAAATAACTATCATAAAGTACTATTCTGCTGGTTTACATTGGCTTTCGTTTTGACAAATATTAAGTTGAATTACCAAGAACAAGAATTGAATATATTTTTTATATTTTTATTTGGATATTTAATATTAATATTTAATATCTTCATATAAAAAAATTAATTCCTTACTTTTGGCTCTAAAATATCAGTAATTTAATTTTGATAATGGCTCAAACAAAAAAGTTTTTTTTTTCTTCTCAGAGGTGTAAAGATTAAAATACAAAATGGCTGATCCTTAAGGAAATATGTCAGCATTTCATTAAATGAAGTTCAGGATTCTCTCCCCTTAGCTCATGGCAAGTCATGAATATTCATAAGGCCTTACCTCATTGATATTCATGAAGTATACTTAATTGATATTCATATGTCAGCTATTTCAGTATCACTGAAAAAGTTGATCTGAGAAAGAAAAGTAAATTTAAAGAAAAATTTCTTAAATCAATAAAACAATGGCAAGGAATTTATAACAATGACATGTCTGTATTTATTAAGAACAGATGGAAAATTTATAAATAACTTGATTATTAATACAAGCTGCTTGAATCCAAGGAAGACAGGAATACCAGGAAGAATTACTGTATTTGCCAGCCTATTGGACACACTCAGATTTGTCATGGAATATTCAGGAAAAAAAATGACACATCACATCTAAAACAATCAAAATTATAACTTTACCTTTATGTGACATTCTCACTAAACATAAAGAAACACTTACAGTATTAACGCAACTTATACTATTAGTACTCGTTTTAATAGAAGTGAGGTTAGGTTTAATTACCAGGACATTTTTTGGAAAAGAAGAATTTTAGTACATTTCATCATGCATCTATTGAAAATTGTTTTAGGTGTTTTTTCAGGGAGCAACATCTGCACATACAGTAAATTCATAAAAGCTACAAAGAAATCTACTGGTATCCGTGAACACTGGTAAATATGGTAATAGGCAAAAAAAACAAATATGGTACTTGTTGGTAAATGAAGTCCCATACCATACATGCAGAAAAGTAAATTTTAATATCAACAAAAATGAACACAAAACAAGCAGCAATATATCAATCAGAGTAAATATTTCTGTAAAATCTGGTATTTCAACAAAACAAAGCAGCAAAATATTGTACAATTCCATAAATGTCTTTTTCCTGTGTGAATTCTTCAGGGATAGTTTTATTGTTATGTTTGTTTGCTTCCAGGAGTCCTAGTTTCAGAGCTAAGCTCTATGCATAAACCAATTCCTGGTGAACCTCTTTCTTCATGGTCTTCATGTCCCTCTCATACATGATACTGCGGTATTGGATGCAGGGTTATTTTTAGGTGCATTTTTTAGGAAAAACTCCACATCCAATAGGTCAGTAAATACTTTCAAAAGAAAACTTCAGATAAAACTACAGACAGAAAGCTTGTTGACTCTTTTTATATATTATCAGTGGGACCTTTTGTTATTATTTATAAACCAAATTACACATGAATTTAAGACGTACCTTTTATCTTGGGTAAATGCAGGTATTTATCTTTTTATTCCAGGCAGCATAATTGAAGTCAATAAGGCAAACACATGCTGTGCGTTTTAACACGTGAGGTGTATTTTATTATTATTTGACCCCTACATGAACAATGACAACAAAGGAAGTAAGGGCAGATAACTGACCCCTATACCAAACAAGAGATTAAGGGTAGATAACTCTGACCCATTATAATTTAACAAGGACTTACTAAAGTGATAATTTCAACACTCCTCCTCACTTGACAGACTGTTCTATTATTTCTTTAACACCTAACAGTTCTCAGAGCTTCACAAATTGTGCGCTCAAAACTGCTTTTGTCAGCCCACCAGCAACCATGTCTTTTCTTGGACAGCATTCCAATTTAATACTTTTCATTTCAACTTGTTCTCGGATGTAATGAAACTGAATATCAATATGTTTGGCTCATCCATGATATTGTGGATTCTTTGATATATATGTTGTGGATTAGTTGTCCTTGTAGATGAGTGTTGGTTTAACTGCAGCTTCATTAAGATCACTTTGAAGACACTGCATCCATATTGTCTCCTGTGTTGCACTTGCAAATGCCATATATTCTGCTTCAGCTGTAGATAAAGCAACACAAGTTTGCTTTTTACTTCTCCAACTGACAACCGCTCCACTTAGTTTAAACAAGTAGCCTGAGGTTGACCTGCGGTGATCCAGATCACCAGCCCAGTCCACATCTGAATATTCTATAAGATTGATTACACTCACCTTGTTATATAGTAATCCATAGTTCTGCGTACCATTTAAATAATGTATGATATGCTTTATGGACCTCTAGTTTTCCATTGTAGGCTGGGAACAAAATCTTGCTACATTACTGACAGCATAGGCAATATTGGGTTGTGTCATTGTTGACAGATACAGTAAGCATCTAATTGCTGATTGATACAATTCTTGATTAAATAGCTCAGTTAACCTTGCACCAGCATCAACTGGGGTTGCTGTAGGTAAGGAATTTTCTATTTGGAATTTATTTAAAAACTACTGCTGTGAATGCTGGTTTCCTGATCCATATCTTTCCTGGATCTGGATAAATGATTTTAATACCCAAGAAGTAATGTAGTCTCCCTATGTCTTTAATGTTGAAACTTTCCAAGATTTTTCTGGCAAATTCTTGGATACATGTTGAAGACTTGCTTGCCAGAATGATGTCATCAACATAAACCACAGTTATGAAGATCTCCCCTCCTGAGGATAGCATGTAGATGTGTAAAGGTTCTTCGCTGTTTCGGAAATGTTCAATGTCTAAAAAGCTGTCTGCTTTTGATTAAAAATGTTGAATTCAACTTAGACAAAAGATTTTTCTATGAAAGATATTAAGTGAAAAAGTTTGTTGTGTAAATTTTTCTAATCTCTCATAAAGAAAGTGTTTTTCTTTGGCGGCAATTTTGACACATAATTTCCATGTGTATCTTTGCGTGTGTGAGTCTCAAAATGTGACAAAAATTTGTTTGCCATTTCTATTTATAGTTTTTTTAACAACAAAATCAGCTCAACGGGGCTTGGTAGCTTGTTGCGAATTTTTCTAAGAAATGCATGGGCAAATGTTGTATTTTTTATTTTTTAGCCAATAGGATTTTTGAAACATTTAAATTAGGGATGAATTTGAAAAAGCTTTTTTTATGTCAGTTGCGCCTACTTTTGTATAAATTTTGACTGTTTTGTTATGGAAATTTCTCAAAGCTTATTTAACAACCAATGAAATTCAAGAAAATGTTTGAAATTGAAATGAGGGTTACTAAAGATGCAAGGATCATTTACTAATTGCTTGAAATGTATCTTTTTCAGCTGACCATCTAGTGCTTCATTCCAACATCTTGACGATTGTTTCAAGCCATAGATACTTCCCTTTAGTTTACATACAAGGTGTTCTTTACCTTTGACCTCAAATCCTTCTGGTTGCTTCTTTCATCTCACCATTTAGGAATGCAGTGGTTATGTCCAACTGATGAAGCTTCAGATCATGTTTTGCTGCTAATGCAATAATAGTTCACACTGATTCAAACCTTACTACTTTACAAAAGGTTTCATCATAATGAACTCTATGTTTCTGAAGAAATCCTTGAGCTACCAACTTTGTGTTGTTCCATGTCTCCGTCAACATCATATTTTCGTTTGAACACCCACTTACCTCATAATTTATTAGTATGCAGTGAATCAATTTCACTTTCCATTGCTTTCATCCAATCATTTTTCTCAGGACTGGAAAGTGCTTCTTTCACTGTTAACAGATCATTCAATCTGTGAGCAATGTACACCCATTCACCATACCGATCTGGAGCTTTCTTAATCTTTAGTCATCTTCATGGTCCTGTTTCTTGCGAATTGTCATCATCATCACTGATGTTTTGACATTCAATTTCCATTACAGGTTGGTTTCCAACTTCCTCTCTCCCCTGTTCATCTATAGATGCTGATTTGTTAAGAATGATATCTCTGCTATGAAATACTTTTAACTCTTCTGTATCATAAAGTCTGCGCCCCTTTTACTCCAATACCATATCCGAGGCAGATGCTCTTCTTCACTTTAGGATCCATTTTGGATCTTTCATCCTTCCGTATGTGGGCATAAGCACTACATCCAAAGGAGGAACAAAGAGGATTAATATCTCATGAACAGAGCAAGACAAAAAAAAAAAACAGGCTGATACTTTTTTGACTTTATTTCAAGTAGTTCCAGTTCCAACTTAGTTGCTGCTAATTTTGAGGTTCCAAAAGTTATTGCCCAACATGCAAAGCAACTCAGTGATGTAGATTATATTAAAGAAGCTTAGATAGAACATACACCTTTCAGAAAAGAAAAAGATTATTCAGTGCATTAAAGATTTTTCTGTGAGTTGGAAAACAGTTAAGGATATGATACTTAAGTTGGAAAGGAAGACAGATGAACAATTTACAAAACATTTTTCTTCATGTGAGTCTTTTTCTAGTTGTGTTGATGAAAGTACGGACATTACACCATCAACTAGACTAGCCATATTTTTTCAATTTTGTAGGGGTGATGAATTATATGAAGAGATGTTTGTCCTTGGGGTTGAAATGTGTAAAGCAGTTGTGAATGAATTATCTGATCAACAAATTCACATGTCAAATGTAGTTTCTGCCACAACAGATGACTACCATGACTGATGATATTGGCAGGATTTGTTTGCGAAAATGTCTCTTTACTGAAAAAGTCCTACAAATGATTGTTTTGGAACAGAAAATGCATAAGGCTTTATTGTTTTTCTGAATCATCTCAAATTTTTGAGTTCAATATTCTTTAAATTCTCTAATATCCTCTTCGTTTGAATGACATTGTTTCTTTAGATCATGAAATTCTGCACAATCTGTAAATGGAAGAAAATAAAAATATATGAGATAATGATATACATGAAAGAGGAGAAAGAATAAAAGTAATAAAAGTAGTTATTGTTGTGCCATATTTGGTACACATGCCAGGGGTTGTCTGCCCCTGATCTAGGCTGTTTGTCATAAATTTCACTGTTTAAGAAAAAAACAAAAAATCAATAGAAACTCAGATATGTAGTGAAAGAATATAGGTAAGTCAAAAAGGAAATCTAATGAACAAGTTTTGTGTACCAGAAACAAGTTACTTTTGTGCGCCATGTTGGGTACACATGCCAGGGGTTGCCTGCCCCTGATCTAGGCTGTTTGTCATAAATTTCACTTTTTAAGAAAATAAAAAAAACTGATAGAAACTCAAATATGTAGTACCAACAAAAAAAATTGTTGTAATAAGAAATAATGTCTAATACAAAAATTAATTAAATAAAGAATTTACTATATATATATATATATATATATATATGTAGTACTTTTTGTTCTTGTACTTTAATCCATGTGTGTTTTCTTTTTACTAATGTTCACCTCATAAAATCCCTGACCACCACTTTACTGGTGGTAGAGAAAAATACTGTAATGTCCAGTCACCTGTTGAACAGTGGGTAAACACTTGTAGCTATTTTTATATCTATCATGATACATTACATACCAATTTTGACTCAGGAGCTCAGATAGAAGGGTTAAAATTGTTCAGGAACTCAGGGCTTAAAGGGTTAAATGCCACTCAAGGTAGAGGTTTACTGAATGGCGATGTCATAAGTATGTATAATGAGGGAGTAAGGTTTGCATATTATGAAGATATGTATGATAGATAATTGTTCATTCCACGGGATTTCATTTAATACTGCAACAGCAATGTTAGATAGTTTCTTTATGAACTTGATAGATTTCTATCAACTGATACGCTGATAAGAAAAAATTACTCAAAACTGAATTGGCACTCCTTGTCAAATTTAATAAAATGTCTGAATATATATATATATATATATATATATATATATATATATATATAAAATATATAGAAAATAGAAAAAGAACTTGTTAGGAACTTTTAGTAAATAATCCAAAGTTCTTTAGTATTTTTTTTATTATTTTAAAAAACAGTGCTCGATACAAAAGTAGAGCCTAAATATAGTTATTTATTTAAAAATATGATTCCATCACTACATAAGAGTTCTCATGTTTCAAAACAAGAGCTGAAAACTTCAATATAATTATTTGAATTAAATTAAATTAAAGTACTAAGCTCTGTTCCATCTTTAAGTGAAATTTTTTTTGGAATAACTAATTCTTGAAATTTACGCGTTTTATAAGCATATTCATTATTAAAATTAAAATTACTATGGTAACGGCTAGAGCAATTATTAAAAAAAAAAGGGGCGTAAGGGTTAATAATTTGTATCAATATCTCAGTTACATTCAAAGAGGTCAAGTTGGGGTGTCTAAATTTAAAGCGGAAGATGACATCGCCTAGTCTGGTTAAGTGTCTATGGAGATTTATTTATTTTTTTATTTTATTTTTTTTCCTGAAAGGGTTTTGTGGATATAAATACACTGTCATATTTTGCTAACATTTGTTTTTTGATGACTTCATAAAAGTTTTTTTGTTTTTTTTGGGGGGATGGGGTAGGGCATTTAAACTTTTTATTTAGACTATGGAGTTTAAAATTTGTATTTATTATTTTATGCTAATTAATCAATGCAAAAATTTGATGATGTCGGCAAAACACCATTAACTCATGTCTATTGTTTAATAAATTTTCATTGTTTAGAAACTTGATAATGTGTAGTTTTTCATGTAGGCATAAAGGGCATGGGTCATCCCAAGTTTTACAAGTTCTAGTTTTGTTTATTATTTTTTTTTTTACTTTTGGTGTTTTATTCATTTCCTTCAAATGCCAAAAATATTTAGATAGAGATGTCTGATTTCTTTTATTAATATTGTTGAAGGCGTACTTATGCTGCCTCCACCTGGTTTTAAATTCATTCTTCGTAGACCCAATGTATATCATATTAGTATTAGGACTCTCAGTGGATGAGATAGTACATTGGTATACTACAGATTTTACGCGGCATATATTTTCCAATAGGCAGTCTTCTGGGTTTCTACAATCACATAATTTTTCACTATTTTTGTCTAATTTAAGTGTAGGGTTTTTATTAATACTATTCTGGCATGGGGGTTTATTCAGGATTTTATTATTGTGTTTTTTTATTATACTGTCTAGATTTTCAGTGCAACTGTAACTTAATTTTAGGGTGTTTTTATTAAATATTTTACTAAGTCTACTATTTGTAGGAAAGTGTTTTTCAATTAAAGCTAGGAATTTCTGTCCTAACTTAATACTAACCATTTGGTTGAACGGAGGAGTATACCAAATGATTTTTCTTTTCCTGTTGTTCAAAAATTCATCCAGAAATACCATAACCTTTCAACTTTTGAAGAAGCCCAGTATGCTAAACTGTCAAATGCCTTTGAGTTATCCAAAGCAACAGCCTGAGCTTCATCATTCTTATATAAAGCTTGATAGACTTCTTCAGGAATAATCGTTAACACATCAGGAGTTTACTTAAAGAAGTGAAAGCCATATTACTTATTTCTCGTAAATATCTATACTGATGATACAATAGTATATAGGTACACCTCCTAAAATTAACAGAGTAATTGAAAATAACTCCCTATTTTATTTATGAGTCCTGACTTAACACCTGTGACTTAACACCTGTGACTTTTTCTTTGGAGTTCGTTAAAGGTTACTATACCAAACCAAGACTTTGGAAGAACTTAAAAGGCAAATGCAAGAAGTTATGTCTTCCATACCACAAGAATTCCTGTGAAATCAGTTGACACGGTTCTTGAAATGTTTGTGAAGCTGGTAACAAAATCTGGTGTCCATACTGAATTTTAAATAAAACCTCATGCTAAACGCTTTCCTCTCCTATCTGTTTCTTGTAAAAATTATAGTTAATAAATAAATTATAAGTATTTTAAAATGTGGAGTTACATTTCACTCACACCGTAGATGGTCAGAGCCTAGCAGCTGATCTCTCCTTTGTCATAGATTCAGTGGCGTAACTAGAGTAAACATCACCCAGGGCGGTCCGCTCAAATGTCACCCCAATGACCCCGATTCACCCTATGCTGAATGGTTAGCTGTAGCTAAATTTTCATACATGCTCTACCTCTACTTTACTCTACTGACCGGTACGTTACTGTTTACATGTATGATCCAAGACAAATTCCAATACAACAAAAAAAAACCCAGTTCAAATCAAAAGCTGAAAACATTGCTATTTTTCCTACTCACAAATTTCCCGACAATTTATTAGAAAATTTCTGACGGGGGACAAAACTGGGGGTCATAAATTATTTCTGGGGGGTCATATGCCGGCCTGTGAAACCCTGTGTCTCCACCACTGTTTTCAGACTATTTTTGGCACCATAGCCTGGTTGAAAAATTTTGTTGGGGGTGACATTGTGTCACCCCTCCTGTGCTGGCACCCGGGGAGCTCCGCCCCCCCTTGCTATGCCACTACATAGATTTAATGACTCAATAGGGTGAAAATTGGCTTGTGATATTCAGTAAATCAAAAATCAAACTTGTAAAATTCCATCAAGAAGTCCTGGAATTGCAATGAACAAGTATTGTCTCATGGAGTCCCCTTACCCTGACTGCCTATTGGTATTAAGCTAACCTCAGACCTCAAGTGTAACTCATTTATATAATTGTTTGTTAATGATTCTAGAAAAATGATTGGTTCCTTGCATTGCTTCAGTAAGTTTGAATATTTATAAGTCTATCATTCATCTGTATATTGAATATTGCTGCCATATCTGGTCTGGTGCTTCTGAAGTATGGAGGTATAATGACAAGGAAACATGTTATATTTAACAAAA